CCTTCCTTCCTTCCTTCCTTCCTTCCTTCCTTCTTATATTAAAGGCTTGCCATGGTTAAGGGACCTGTTAGCTGGCAATAGAGACTATCAAAACTTGAAGAAGAAAGAGTACAAACCCTGGAGAATACGTGTAAACAAAGTTGAGCAGCAGTTGAACTGGGCAATAGTGACAATCTAAATGGGTATGCAAAACTGCGGTTTCAACTAACTTTAAAGCACTTTTGACTGGAAACTAGAACAGCCTATTCAATGCTAATATCTTCCAGATGTGTTGGGTATCAACTACTGATCTTCTCACAAAGCTGAACTGTAGCAGTTGGAATTGTTCTCCTATAGCTATTTAGTATTTTATTGTTGGAACAGTATGAATGTTCCATGTTATGAAGTTTGCATACTTACCTATTTATAAAATCCCAATCAATGAGTTATAATGAACAAAAAAAAATCCTATTTATAAAATCCCAATCAATGAGTTATAATGAACAAAAAAAAATCCTATTTATAAAATCCCAATCAATGAGTTATAATGAACAAAAAAAAATCCTATTTATAAAATCCCAATCAATGAGTTATAATGAACAAAAAAAAATCAGAGAACTATAGCCTACCTCATGTTACCTGCCATAAGAAGACATAAATTGTAGATGTGAGAAAAGATGAAGAGAAAAAGTATGGTGCTGAAGAACATTGTCATCCAAGACCCATGATCCTCTCGAAACATTTTCAACCGTAGTAATTGACCTGCAAAGATATTAAAAATGTGTTCATATTTCTCATAGTTCTAGAAGAGACAGAGAATGGTAAAGAATTTGTAAACATGCCAAGGTACAGTTTCAGCAAAGTCAACAGCTCCATGGTCTGAGCCTTACTTACACTGAGGCAGAGAGAAAATTTCTCTGCCCCTTGTAATGTGGTTTGGAAAATATGAGTCAAATCCAGGTTTCATCTATCCATGCAACAATCTCTAGACAATAGTTCTTCTTTTATAAAAATGTTGCTTTTCAATGGCTCCCACTGAATAAGGCCTTCCTCAGAGGATATGTCTTGGTCAAGATTAAAGACTGTTTTCCACATTCAGTACTTTTTGATGGACCTGTTGACATATTATACTAGAAATCTGGACTGACGAAAGTAGTATTATTGTCTAAAGTAGATATCTAAACACTACTGCTCCCATTCCAGGTACAGAAACACCTAGCAGTTTAATCTTATTTGGCTGCCTGTGCTATAGTTTAAAGTAGAAGGCTAAGTAGGGACTCATGGAAGTCTGCTTCTCCAACACTTCACTCTCTCCTACCCGCAATGATTTGACTCCAAGGCATCTGATGTATTTGGTCTAGAAGAACCTATGAGAAAAATAGATTCATACTAATCATTCTTGGACTACTTGTGAGATAAAGTCCGGGAAGATTTAGACTTGCTGCTGCCTCACTCTGCCTAGTGAGAAGACAGTCCTGTGAAAAGGGAGATGTTTCTAAGGAAGCAAGACAAGGAAAACATAGTATGTAATACAGAACCATTTTTTCAGAAAAAGTACTTTATGTTGAAGGTTCTTGCTGAAGTATTTCAACTTTTGGAAGTCAGTGTTTGAAACCATTTAGCACACAAATTCTCAAAGCAATTATTACACGACTGTGACTGAGTGTCTGAATTTCAGTGAAGATCTGATTGTAGTAGGACTAAGGACAGATCTGCACATGCAACAGCAAAATGAAGTGATTAGTGTCCTGTAGCTGTTATTTGGCTGTTCCACTTCAGGCAGCAGCTTGAGAGCATCTTGCTGAAAATTATCCCATTTAAAGCCTCACTGCAATCAGAAAGCTGCACAGCAGGGAGAAAAGTTCCAAGCTTCGTGGGCCTAAAGTGGCACATGGGAATGCGAGTACACCCACCAGGCTTCTCATCCATCTTATTTTTGTTATGTGTGTGAATATATGTGTGTGTGTACATGTATACACACACAATGTACTTAAAGTCTACAAACAATTCTACAAAGTCTACAAAATCTACAAACAACAGGCCCTACAAACAATTGATTATATCAATTACATTAAACTTTCGAATTGGTTGCTATTTCTTTCTAAACACTTCCTTATTTGTTTGATGCATGACCTCTGAACATTGCTGTGGAAGAGCAGGCTGTTGAGGAACAATTGCAGGCACCTGGGCTACCTCCCCCCATCCTATTTGAGCCTCCTCCCCAGCCTCAGTATGGCAGAGCGGCTTATAAAAGCTACACCGTTGAAACAGGTTGGGGAGGAGGTGTGCCTGTTCTGGAAGCTCTGCAGTAGCAGCAACAAATGGAGAAAGCAGGCAAGTAAAAGAAGTTGTTTCTCTTCACAGAGACTGAGGGGTCCAGAGGAAGGCCACGCCCATGTTGGGAAGGTGCAAGTGCGTTACATGCTGCCATTAATAAAGAAGAAGAAAAAAACAAGAAATCCCAGAGAGAGAGAGTGCATTTAAAGACGGACCAGGGTCTATAAGAGTAAAACACTACTGTATGCTAGTAATAGTATACTAGTAATAGTAGTAGTGTAATAGTATAGTACAGTACTGTATAGTACAGAACTAGTAGTATATAAGTAATAGTAGTAGAATATAGTCTAGAGAAATTGTAATTGTATGGTATCAATAGTAATAGAAATGGAGTGTAGGATAAGATAATAGCCATAGAAAGAAATTGCACATATATGTTTCTATATTTCAGTTTTGTATCTTGTGTTTTTTTCCAACATCTCCCCAACCCTTAGAGGGAGATATAAAAATCCAAGTGTCTAGAGTATAGTGCTATTGGTGGATCTTCTGAGTCTGAGTCAATCAAATTGGGTATAGTTTAAAAACAACCTCTGACAATTACTAAACATAATATCAATATACCTGAAAAATTAATACAATTAATAACATATATTTTATGTATGTGACTGGCATATGGGGTCTGACTTTTGGTGCACCATGTATAGGAATAACATGCCACAAAGTGCCAGACTGGTAGTCCCAAATAATCCCACGAAGGTTGCTTTTAAACAAGCAAAAATAATGGGATGTTGCAGCTCAGTTATTTGTTTGGAAATCTATTCAAATCTGCCCCCTAAAAGGTCATACAAGCATGTAGGCACTTGGCCAACCCCTTTGGCTTGGAGGGTTAGGCAGGCTAGTGCTTTGATCGGAGATTTTTAGGGAACATCAGGACTAAAGGGTAGACCAGGAAGTTGGCAACATCTCCTAGAAAGCAGCTACAGCAAGCCACATCCAAATGGCTGCCAAGAAACTACATGGATGCATCCATGTAATTACCAAGAGTTGACCTTGATTCACAGAAGCCTTTTAAGCAGTGGTAACATGAGGCATCCCATTAAAAAACGAATTGGCTTAAGGCATCCTTTTTCTACCTTTAAACCCTCCCAAACTGCAAAAGCAACATAAAAGAAAACACACACACCCTAAAAAGCTAACAAAAACAAAACTGGGTGCTGGGTTTCACCTGCAATTCAAAAAGCAATAGTCTGTTTCTCTGCTTCAGATATTCACACAGATTAGCTTACAGCAAAAAATTATCTGAATGGTTAAATTAATGTGCCATTATCAAACACTAAAAACAAACCTAGACTTTATGTGAAAAATGGGAACAAAGTAACAGACTGCACTGCCATTTAATTACTGAGATAATTTCATCCCTTTTCATTGATTGATGCCAAAGATTCCTTATCAAACATTTGTTTTCTTGCATGCCAAAAAGAAAGCAGCATTTCTCTGTTTCCTACCAGGTTTAATAGTTCTATTGTCTTATAGGAAAACAGCAAACATGCATGATAAATATGCCATTCTGGTTTCCTTTGAAAGGGTCATGTTTGCAGTTTGGCACAGGTCACAGTAATATCAAGCAATAATGTAATACAGTGATGACCCAGGAGGTTTTCTTTAATTGGTTCCCATTTCTAAAGGTTGCTCAGGGTATATTGCTGAGAAACTGTCCACATGTATAAAAGTAGCTCATTAAAAAAAATCAGCTGTAGACTCTAGCAGGGTATTTGCTTTTTGAAACCATATTACTGGAACTCTTTGGAGAACTTGAAAGGACAAAAAGGAAAGGTTTCTTCCCATGTAAAAGACAGAAGGCTGACAACCCAGAGCAGACATCTAAACCATCCACGTTTCAGTCTCCTTTAATAAAGTTTACCAATCAGAAGTTCTTGCGCCAAATCCATTTATTCAAAAGATGCCAACTGTATCCCAAAAAATGTCTCATAATGAGAGTCTGGATGGGCAGCATATATGAAAACGTGGGCCACCAACAAGCAAAGGTGGGTTTACCAAGACTTCCACTCTTCTTTAAGACTCCCCTCTTATAACATTCAGTTAGGACTAAAGATATTTCAAAAGGAGACCCCCATTCTATAATTGCCATGCCTCATTCAGAGGGACCAGGCAAAACCCTTCCATTTGTAAATCTTGAGTTTTATCCTGACTCCTCCTTTACTTCCTAGCACTGAAAATTTGTGAAGGAGGGAAAGGCAAGATAACAGCACACAGCACAATGTATTTTTTATTGGTAGGACTGGGCATTGTCTATCAGAAAGCCCACTAGGATGTAAAACCAATATACTCGTACCTTTCTATGCAAACATTTATTGCTTTGTTTCCTAGAGGTGGAGAAAATGGTGGAGGTGTAAGTACAGCTCCTGAGGGAGGTGCTTCATTGCTTGGAAGTGAGGAAACAATATATACAAAACATCAGATCAATATTTACAGAGCTAAATTTATTCCCTAAAAAACAGCTGCCGTGTAGGGAGCAATCAGTTCCTCAGATTTTGTTTTTTAAAAAACAACAACGAAGAACAAAATTTCATCATAAAAGTACACAGAGGCAGAAAAAGTAGCTTAGCCTCATTCTATGAAGGGGAGGAGTTTTCCATTCCTGCCCTCTTTATCATTGCTTTCTCACATATTGTAAGGATTGTCACTGAATTATTAACATTAATGGGACAAGGGGGAAGATTAATGGAAATTTAAGAAGATGGTTTGGAACTCACAGCCATCTGTGACAGAGGATTCTATCATTTTCAAACAAGGTAAGGAAGTAGTTTTACTAGTTAAACTAATGTTTTTAATCATATGTATACAGAGAACAGAGAGAAAGGAAGTAGAGCGTACGAACTATGCATAACCTATGAATTATGCATAATATGGAATATAAAAAGCACTTTTATATATTTTACTACAGGTGCATTTTCAGTAAATTATTTTTTAATTATAATAAATAGCCAATTCTGGCAATTAGTTTTACCTTGACTGCAATTAATATGAAATATTACTCTTCTTACTGGCATAGCTCGTTACACTTTATGAAATTGCACATAAAAAGATGGATCTGCTTTACAGTTCTTAATCAAAAGGTAAAACATTAGGTGTCGTAGGAGCAACACCACTTGCAAGATTAGCATCTATTTTTATTCATCCATAGTGTTGCAATTTTTGAAAGGGTATAATTGTGACACATGTCTTGCCAAGTTTCCCATAATGTAACGATGTAATCGTGCAAACAGAAATATTGACAATGAAGTTAAATTACAGTATAACAAAACACAGACTAAAGGATTGATGTAATTCATGTGATAAACTATCATTAGAAATAATACCAAAGCAGAAGAAAACTCTTGTCTTATGGAATTACGTAAAATATAGAAATAAAATGCTGCAGTAGAAAGAGTGTCCTAAGGATATATATAGTATTTTGATACAAA